AAATATATAAACAAGATGTTAAAATATCAGTTTTACCATTTAGTGTTTTGGCTATAACAGTTATGTACAACAACCATACATTTTCTTTGCATATTAAGATCAATTTCTTTAGAAATGATTACAACACATAAAGAAGACAAATAAAATTTCAGTTTTCTGGACCGGAATTTGAACCCCAGACCACTCTTACCGTAGACCATAGATTTCCAATATAGTTATCACGGAAATGTCATAAACAAACCGAAAGATTCTTCAGTTTAGAATTTCCATTAGGGTTTGTGAACCATTTTCCAAATCTTACTTGAAAATTATTCAATACAGGGAGTGGATGAGGGTGGGATTTTACAAACTCTTTAATATGTCCACTTAGTGAAATGTTTGACAGTGCATATAGAGGAGAACACTTTTTCGAATCACAAGCTAAGAACGCAACTTGTTCCCTTGCGAAAGTTTTCTGAATAAAATGATTTATTTATCAATATTGAATTAGTTGTTTCATACTATTACATGGTAACACTTTTGTGTCCCTTCTTGTTGTTTAGTCGTCTACGGTAATGTACATTTAATTTGCCCCTAGTTTTTTTAGTTTGGTCCCTGCCCTGTTTTTGTTAGGGTTCTGATGGGTTCCTTGTCACTGGTCCTTGTTGCTAGATCGTGTGGGTGCATTCATTGAACAATACCTTTCCGTGTTGAATTTGTTTAATTTGGTTAGGTTGTATTTAAGGTAGAAAAAATAAAGACGTTCTTTTAGCTAAAACTACCATAAGGTAGTTAGAATTCCCTAGAATGGTAAAGATATTAACTAGATAAAACATATAGATGTCAACTAGATAAAACATATTAAATGTTAAAATAAATGACTGATGCTGATTTTCTAGATATTTATTTTTGACATAGAAATTATAGCGTTGACTTTTTATACTGTTCAGGGGTTTAAAAAACATGTTAATTTTTGTAGTGCCATGTAAAGACTTTGAATATCTTTAATATACACCAAGATAATTGTTATTGCAAAAAAAATCATGAACTAGATATAATATACTGTGCTCCTCTTATCCCAGCAAACATACCTATATCGGGCCGATATCGGCTAAATGTCGGAATATCGAAGTCGGCTTTCCGCCATCGAACCGATATATATCCGATATAGACAAACTTGTTAAAGACAGGATGATATCGGTCCAATATAGGTCCAATATACATTTATTTCCTGTAATTCAATTAAATGAGTTTTTCAGTATATTCTTATTAAATTCATTTCAGCAAGAAATCGATGCTTTTGTAAAGAGTAATTAAGTCATTTTCATTAAAAATACTTCAGTGCTATATCGGCTCCATGTCTGTTGCCGATTTAATGTATAAGTGATTTGCACAACGTGGTATTTTTCTAGCCCACCTGCCATCAGAAGAAGTTTGCGCCAAAACTAAACAAGAGCTGTCGGTAGGACAGCAACGCTCGACTATTCTTAGTGCTTGATAGTAAAAAAAATGCTTGATACAGTTACCTCCTCCTGTTTACAGGTTGGGGTCATGATGGTGAACAAGTGTGCAAAGTTTCAAAGCCATATGTCAATGGACTTTGAAAAATATTTGAACTATTACAAAAACTTTAACGTAAATTCTAAGTCGAAAAAGGGGCATTATTCTGTCAAAATGCTTGATAGAGTTACCTCCTCCTGTCTACAGGTTGGGGTCATGATGGTGAACAAGTGTGCAAAGTTTCAAAGCCATATGTCAATGGACTTTGAAAATATTTGAACTATTACAAAAACTTTAACATAAGTGGTTACGCCGACGCCGACGCTCGGGTGACTGCAATAGCTCTACTTATTCTTATCGAATTGTCGAGCTAAAAAAGTGGATTTTTCTCAAATACAGTAAAAACCCTCAATTAAGACCACCATCGGGACTGGGCCTAAGTGGTCTTAATTGTGGGGTGGTCTTAATTGTGGATATTGTTATCATTGCTTACACACGTTATGACCAGGGCCTATTTTAGTCATTTTGTATGAACAAACAATAAGTATCTTAACCTGCAAATACAATATGAAAGTATGTTATAATGTTACATATGATGGGAAGAAAACATATTTCTGAAGAAATTTTTTAATATCAAATTTTCTTTGCTCTGATTTCAATATTAATTATGTATGATATACATAATTCACATATCATGTAAGACATTTTTTCTTCACAAAATAAATGTGCATTTTATAAAGCAACATTAAACCACTCTGAAATTAATTTCCTCACCTTTTTCATGAAATATCCCATAAATAACAGTTTTTGACACCTTGTGTAATCAAGTGTCATGCCTAAGAGCAATGAAGCAGATAATAATATTAACATAACAACACATTTAAGATCTAGGAAGGTGTTGATTTTAATATCAGTGGTCTCAATAGTGAGGTCAAATAAAGAACAAAATAATGAATTGGGACTGAATCTGGTGGTCTTAAAAGTGGATAAGTGAGGTGGTCTTAATTCTGGATCATGTAATCATTGACATAAAGAACAGAAAATTCCGTTCTTTTAAAAACTGGTCTTAAAAGCGGGGTGGTCTTAATTCCGAGGTGGTCTTTAGCAGGGATTCTACTGTACTACTGGTAAATTTATGAATTACTTATGCTTTTGAATAAATTCATTGTTGTAGTATTCGGCGTCATTGCTATTTTGAACGTAGGTTTGGGAATTTCATAATTATCTCGCCGAAAATAATTTTGAAATACATTTTCGCGACTGTTTTTAAATTGTTGCCTGAAATTTAGCGGCTGAGAGAGAATAAACATCAAATTATAGTTTTCTTTTTATTTTTATTAAAAGTTATAATTATGATAGAGATGTCAAATGAAAGTTTTAATTAGAAATAATGAAATAATGATTACTTTAAAAGAAATGGATAGTGCCTGCTTGCCTTTTGAAAGGGCACTTTTCTTAACATAGTCCTTAAATAATAAAAATGTGAATACATTATTATGTTGATATATTTTATTATAGTATAATGTTTGAAACATGAATGATTCATTGCAGGTAAATCATCTGTTTGTGACATGATAAACATACCTGAATCAGAGTGCTGACAACTGAAATAGCTGGTTTTGGAGAAAGAAAATGTCATTTTAGAAGCTAAAGTTGACCAATTGATGCAAAACAGAGTCCTAGGCAACACCTAGAATGAGTAAGTAGGCAAAAAAAATCTATGATAACGAAAAAATAATTATTCAGCTTGAGCATTTTGAGTTATTATGTAAAGTTTCATTGTTTTTAATGATTTATTAACATATTTATTTATGTTTAAAATAAACTGTTAAATTAATGTATATTCTTTTTATATATGTGTTAAATATAGATCAAGACAATATTTGTAGCTTATAACTTGTATCTATACACACACACACACACACACACACACATATACTTATAAGATTTCTTTTCAATTTATGCTCCAGAATGTTGTGATGAAAAAGAGGGCAACAGTCACCGAGCTGAAATTCAATAGCAGGAAATAGCTCATCTGGCAAATGATCTAGACATGGTGGAAATGAAGAACTATGGAAAACTAAACAATTGAAGAAGTTCATATATATCGGGACTCCTGGAGGAACCACAATTGACACTTGACATTATTAACTCATGTACAAATTACAAAATGCTGTTAACTATTCAACATGATAATGTGAAAAGTCAGCTATTCTTTTAAAGTTTTACTCAAATTCATAAAAACTGGGGTATGAATCAATGTGCAAAATCTAAAATACAGTTACTAAATATATCAGAGATAACCATTTGACACTTTCAAGACAGATTTTAAGTCTACATGATGTAAAAAAGCAAAGGAACAAGTAAGAAAAATGCCATTGAGCTTATTTTATCTAAACAAAAAGTAGTTTGAATATAGCAAGGTTGTATTTGCCAGTCACATGACTTAAGTATTTTTGTTAAAACAATTTAATTTTGACTGATCTTTGTAGGAAACATGTGAACATTAATGTTTAAATTTTTATGTGTGTTAGCAAGGAAAAATCGTACGTTAAACATACATCACATGGTTTTTAAACATTGAGATATGTATGTGTAAATTATAAAATATATTATGTATATGAATTTTTAATTTTGCTGAGGTAATAAAAGGTATTGCAAAATAAATATATGTTCTGTTATATGTTAAGGAAAGCAAACCAATATGCTGTAAGAAATAAAAAAAAGCTTATTATGAATGAAGGTAAAAAATCGGCTGTAAGTCGGTACCCGATATCGGCCCGACTTTGAGCCGGGTTGCACATCCGATGTCGAGCCGACTTCGGATGCCGATATCGGGCCGACATTGAAGATGATATCGGGCCGACATCGGTCCTATATGTAATGTTTGCTGGGTATAGTTCAAGGTACTTAACACTTTGAAACCAGAAAGAAAACAACAAATGAAACTTATGGTACAAAAATCATAAGCTGTAACATATAGGTATTTTCTGCTGTATGACACGAGGAAACAACAATTTATTTTAGTCAAAATCAGTTTAAATGAGCCAGACGTACACCATATGTCGGCCATTTTGAAAACAAATAAATTGCGGTAATAGTGTTTTATTTCAGTTCTTTCATATTTCAGTTCAAATTTCTACATGTTATTTTGCATAATTTTAAATATTATAAGTATCTTTACATTGTTACTCAAAATTTATTTTTTCAACAACCAAGAACATTTAGAAAATGATGATTGTTTCAGACGTATGCACAATTTTAACGGACTATTGTTGCTTTTTGCACAAGTTTGAAAAATGTTGTTTTGCTTTACGTAAAAATCTATAAATTGCACAAAAACTTTGTTGTTTACGTGTTTGAATAAAATATGTCAATTCTATCCAATTTTAACAATGGTCACATAAAAATATGCCATTACCTTGAAATAAGTGATGACGCGGAATTAGTGGTGTTAAGTATAATTACTGTATTTAAAAACACTTTCTTGTATTTCAATAAGCCAATCAGATTATCTGTAACAAAATCGCCGTAGGAAGTATTCTAGAAGAAAATGGCGGAAGGTGGAGTCCCCGATGTCGAAACGCAGAAATCTTTTATCGCTAATCAGCTACAAAAACCTTTGATCAAAGACGAAATATGGTGAAAAATAATTTGAAATATTTACATATACGATTTAAATCAAGTCAATCCATAATCGTTCTTGAAAAACAATGTTTTATAACCACCGGAAAGGGAAACCTGATGAAACGTTAAAAATGCTTAATAAAACCGTGGTTTAGTAAATAATGTTCGAGTTTTGATTGTTCTAAAAATTACAACATCGATCATATAGTTTCAATATTGTTTTTACCAGACTTTGTATATTCAATGATATGTACACTTTTGTGGTATTTATTCAGGTAGATCTATTTTAAAGCGTTTACTTTCAGTTTCAATAATTTGATGACTAATTATTGAGGCATATTTATTCATAACCCGATCCGGCTTAAGACATAAAATATTATATTTCTTGAAAAATTGTTAACATCTTTTTTCTCACTTGTTTTGTTTATTAAGCATTTATATATGATACAAATCAAAATAAAAATATTTTGGTTATCTTTTATTTTCTTAGAACTATTTCCCTTTTCCCATTTTCTGGAAACAAAATATTTGAAGTTCATAAAAATTATTTTGTAATGTAAAATTCTTAATAGAATTGTGTCCAACAACTTCATTTTGCTCTGGATTATTGCGCCAGTACCTTTATTCTAAATATTTGGATTAAATATTCTGGTTCTGGCATTTATATTTTGAAAATTCTTTGACACTGAACATTGTACTTTGAAGTTTTCATTGAAAACTGAAAGAAATGTATGCTGACAGGTGTTGGCTCAATGAATAAGAGCTTATATAAAAGAAGTTATTTAACCTATTTTGTTTTACACTTTGCATATGCAACATATTTTTTATAGGACTTCAAAAATTATGTGTTATAAAAACATGAAAAAGGAGAAATAATTCTCACAAAAGTGACAGTAGCCAAATTTTTTTCTTTCTGTTTATGTCAAATATTATTCTCAATAAACAAAACAAAGTTTAAAAGAAATATAGTTATAACTTTTCTAGAAATATGATTTTTTATGTCATAAGCCCGATTGGGCATTTTCACCAGCCTGTTTATAGATCTATGTTAGTCACCTATTATCACTACAAGTTCCTAACCATGACAGTTCTCCGCCAACTTTGACCTATGCAGACAGTTCTTTCTCCCTCCCATTTATTTTTTTCAATGGAATTTTATTGTCTTGTTTTCTAACATGGTGTCAGAATTATAGAAAATTATAGTCAACATGTTTTATTTTATAAGTATTATACTCAACATTACTAATTCCACTTCATCACAAATTTCACAGTAATGGTATATTTTCATGTGACCAGTAGAGGTGTAACGATTCATCGATGCATCGCGATCTGTCTTGTCCCCGATGTATGCATCGTAATGAAATTACAAATTCCAATATATTGCGATGCAATACATATTTCACCTCCCGATGTATCGATACAGCGGGAAGGTATCGCAATACACTAACAATATCTTCCAGGAATATAAGGACAAAAGTATTTTTTGAAAGACTGAAGAAAGAAAAATAGCTCGGATGAAAACAATAAACAAGCGCGACTATTATCATACCATCGTTGTCATCTCGTTTCCCCATGTCCGCAATCTTTTAACGGTTACTAACCAAGTTTTATCAATTCTATGTAAATGGGCTGGTGTTCTTTGAACTTGTTTATAATAAAAACATAATTAGAGATCTGTGCAATTTCAAGAAAAATAACCTACAATCATGAATTTGTAATTTTATTTTGTAGCACTTAAATGTCGGATTAAAATAGTGATGATGACAACATCCCCATGTGATATTCGTCACGTATTTATACTTTCATTTCTGTTGACATCATTTTCCCGGAAAAAAAAACAACAAAGCAAACAAACAGAAAACATGAAGACTGCAAAATATGTAGACGGGGAAATTACAGTCAATCCTCCCTGGTCATATAAGTCACGAGTTTTGGGAAAATTGTAGTTTTTGGGGAACCATGAGACAGTGTTGTATATAATGTGGAAGACCGGACGTGGAGTGTTTGCAAAATTTGCAAACTCAAAATAAAATACTCTGGGGTTGAGCACAAATCTTTCGAGAAACTGAGACTGTAACTATAAACTGTCATTTTCACAGTGTTTGACCTAATTGTAGATCACTTGTTACTATTTTTTTTCACAAGAAAAATCTTAAGTGGTGTATTGTAAGACTGAAATTGTTAAACTGCCATATTTACAGTAGTGGACTTTAGTGTTAGAATAGCTAGTAGATATCAATTTGCCGTTATGGTTTAATCAAAAAATACTTTCAATCCTCAAGTAATCAGAAAAGTAAATTGGTTAAAAGATCAAAATCGGAAACCAAGTTATAACAACAAGTTAAAGAGTTTATTTTTTTGATATTGTAATAGTTTTATATTATATTCGTAATTATGCCGTAAACAAATGGCCAATTTTTTATATACTAAGTTTAAAAGTCAGTATCGTGATACGTATCGCATCGCGACATAAGAATCGCAATATGCATCGCATTTCTTCAAAGTATGCAATACATATCGTGAATCGCATCGTTTTGAAAAACAAATATCGTGATATGTATCGTGACAGAAAAAAATTGGTCAGAATTGACATGATTTAATCATACATCTATGCAACCAAATTTTTGTGCAAAATATTTTTAATCTAGATTTTTACGTAAAACAAAACAACATTTTACAAATTTCTACAAAAAGCAATAATAGTCCATTAAATTTGTGCGTATGTGACTATGTCTGAAACAATCATCATTTTCTAAATGTTCTTGATTGTTGAAGAAATAAATGTTGAGTTACAAAGTAAGGATAATTTTAATATTTAAAATCAAGCAAAATAACATGTAGAAATTTTAACGGAAACATGAAAAAAATTGAAATCTTACACCATTACTGCGATTTAAATGGTGACATACTGTTTTCAAAATGGCCGACATATGGTCTACGTTTGGTCCATTAAAATTGACTTTGACTGAATAAATTGTTGTTTCCTTGTGCCATACATTAGAAAATACCTATATGTTATAGCTTATGACAATTTTTGTACCACAAGTTTCATTTGTTGTTTTCTTTCTGGTTTCATAGTGTTAAGTACCTTGAACTAAGAGGAGCACAGTATATTATTATTATTATTAAGGTAATATTATAGTTTTAAAATGTGTTACTGTACAATCAAGTCCAGATTTAAATATCACAGATTATTTCAGTGAATGTGATTGGTATAAAAAATTTAACATTGTCTTTGTGACTTAAAACCCAACCAGAAAAAAATAAAAGAGTAATAAAAAACAAAAATGAATAGAAATAGTAGAAATAATTAGGAAATAGTTATCTAAAATTAGACTAGTTTCAGAATTTAATTTTTTTAAAAAGCATCTAAGCAGTCACAAAAAATTAAGTAATGCAACTATTGAAGTATTGTACCATGTAGAAAATAGATATCTTGAAATAGTTATCTTAAAGTAGACTAGTTTCCGACTTTAATTTTTAAAGAAGCATCTAAGCAGTCACAAAAAAAATATGCAATGCAACTATTTTACCATGTAGAAAATAAATATCTTGATCAAAAATTTTCTTTGAAGTAAATAGGGTAAAAAATATTACAGTTTTTCTATCATAGATAAATAAATAAATATTACAGTTTTTCTATAATAAATTAATAAATATTCACTAATTTTCATGAAAATGGCTCTTACCTAACTTAATGCTGTAGCTTTCTTCCTACATACTGAAATGGAAATGAAATAGAAAGAAATACTTAAACAGCAAAAATCAATAGTATGATCATAAATTACATCTATAATGTCACAATCAATGTGGCCCACATAATATGTACACCACAACATATTTAGCTCTTTTTACTTTATAAAAGTCATACTAGTGTGGAGGATTTTTGTTTCATAAAGAGATGAAAAGTATTCCATTTTTTGAGGGGCAAAGAGGCTGAATTTCATTCCTAAATTAGACTTTAATATAGCACTGTTGAATTAAAGAAAACTTGGCTCTTTTGTTACAGGTACATATTGGATGTAAAATGGTTCAAACAATGGAAGAGTTATGTGGGATATGAATCCTGGGATCATTATAATGTTGGGGAGGAAAGTGCAAATCCCGGGCCCATTGATAACACACCAATATATCAAGGTACACTATCATTTTGTGATGTATATAATATATAGATGAATTAACCTCTTCCTTGCATTGTGAATAGATGACATTGATTTAAGGATGCTCAAAATTACCACATCAGGGCCGGCAAAATCAATTGTCCGTATTTGTCCCACAGCCTGTAATGACAAGTGAAAATTTTCAAGAATTTACTATGTAAATATCATACGGACAAGGTAAAAAAACCTTCATATAAAATCGGGCAAGTAAGTCAAAATCAGATTTTGCCGGCCCTGCACATATAGATAATAGTACATAATGACTGAAACTGATTAATACTATCAATACAATATTTATTTTACATGCAATTATTGAAATCCAACTTTTTGATGACTTCATAAACTTTCAATGTTTTGTGTTCTTTGGTGAAGAATATCTTTAAAATTCTGCAATATGATGAAAGAAAGATTAACTTTAAAATACCAAGATAGATAATTAGATTTGTCAAGATATGTTTGACTTTTAATTAGCTTTCTCAGTTGACAAAATGCCAAAAAGAAAATCGAGCTGTAATTCAGGTGTTATTTCAGAACCTCTCATGTTGGCCGAGCATTCCAGTAATGTCAGTGGAAATAGTCATATAATCTATGTACCGTTCTTTTATCAGCTCTGCTATGATTTCTTATGTCTAAGGAAGTATATTAAGCTATAGTTTAAATGCATAATAATATATTTGTAGAGGGTACCCAAAAGTTAAAAGAACATTTGATAGATGATCTAGACTATGGACTAATTCCAGATGAAGGTTGGAATAAACTTTACTCCTGGTATGGCATGTTGGAAGGACAGGTTTGTTACCTATTTTATTATTCTTAAAAATTTTAATGACATGGGTTAGTAGACTTTATTGCCTCCCAAATTGTGTTTGTTTCAATTTGCACCTTAAAAAATTAGAAACTTTACAATAAATTGTAGTTTTAGTTTGTTTTTTTCCCTCCAAAATGTTGTATCTAGTTTGAAGATCTCCCAAAAATTTTTGGAGCTAGTTGATGAGCTGAATTTGTAAGAGGTATCACAATTTACAAGAAATGGTTTATAATAGGATGCTATAAAATATTCTATGTATTGTATTTAACATGAAGTTTGGTACAGGTCGAATTGCTCTTATTCTTGGCATAAATTCCTACTATTATCTGGCGATCTTTATATTCTTAATAAAATGGTAATTTTCAGGGTTTTCATTATGAACAGATGGGTGATCCATATCATCAGTTGAAATGCTGTTAAATTTGTTGTATTTTCAGCTTGTAGATTAGAATATCTTCCTTGACCCTTGGCCAAATTGGTTGTTTTCATTGGCACATCTGTTGCCTTAGATAAAAATGAAATGAGTTTATAGATACAGGAACAGTTTGGGTATAAGTTTCCATGGATTTGCTTGAAGTTCAGGTTTTTTCTACTCCTGAAAGTTTTCTTTTTTCTGTATAAAAACCAACTGAAATAACACTAAATTCAGGGTTTTTGAGGTTTTCTGATATTTTTAACTTGCGCCCATGGTAAAACCATGATTATATGTTACAGGAGCCCTTGCCAAGAAAGGTGATCGAGGAGGGAGTGTACTCCAAGTCATTGAAGGTGGAAGTTTATCCCTGGCATCTGAAAATATGTGAGAACTCCAAACCTGACGAACAAATCAACAAACAGTTCAGCAGATCTGATACAATTGGTGAGTACTTTAGATGTGTCCATTTATTCTGGTTCCTCCTTTATAATCATTATACTTAAACATTAGCATTGATTGCATTAGTTCCCACTTTGAAATAAATGTCTTAAGGATGAAGGTCCTCAAATTTGATCTGCCCATAATGCAAAAGTTTTCCCTAATTTATGTAAACATTTAGTATGGAAATGCAATATTTGTGCAGAATTTCCTTGTGAAGAAATCTCATAGGTGCTATCCACTTAATAAATGTCAGTGGTTCTTTCCAAATGCCTACTGAAGTAACATTAAAGAGATGGCGGATAGTCAGTAGAGCCTGAAAATTGACAAATACAAATGGCACTATGTCCCTTTTACAGGAAGATATGTGTACTAATGACAAGAAATGTTTTATCTGTGATTTGATGTGTCTGTGAAATTTCTAGTGATTTTATGTGTAGTATTTAAGGACTTTGAGTTTCTTAGTTTTACTTGTCCTTATATTGTATGTTTCTTGTTATGCAGTCACATAGTGATTATACAAAGCACCTGAACTGAAGCAGTGCAATGTTTAATGGTAATGCATGAAAATATATTTCTATTTCCATTATTACATGATAATAAAATCGATGGAAATAAATGGAACAATGTTCAGTGGAGAAGTTTTTTAATTGACATTATTCTGTTTATTGATGTCATTCATGGACCAACTTTATATAATTTCAGTTATATATGTATGTTATGTAGTAATACATTCAAGAGTTTGTTTTAATAAGGAAATTCTCCAATCAAGGGTTTTGAATTATTCTTATTCCAGAACAATTAGAGAAGGAAATGAGAAAAGAGTTTAATATACCGGATGATAAGGAAGTAAGATTGTGGAATAGATACATGACTAACATGTACGAACAGCTAAATAAGAAGGATAACACATTACAAGATGCGGGGCTGTATCAGGGACAGGTGATAGTTATTGAACAGAAAAATGAGGATGGAACTTGGCCTAGACAAACTCCACAAAAGAAGTAAGTTTAAGTTTCACATTCTTAATGTACGAACAAATATTTCTATCAGATAATTATATATACAGTAGTTCTTATAAGAACTTATATGATGTCCTTCAGCATGGAGAAAATATATGCCTTTATATAATGATGGAAATTGTAGTTATTTATTTCGAGAGATTAAATATTTGTTGATTCCAATGTGTTTTTGGTCATATCTTGACGGTTGATCCACTTATCGGGCTTTCCTGAAAAATTAACCAGTTATAAGTTTCGCCACAAGTGAGACTAACAACAAATCAGCAGTGAGAGACAAATGAGCCATGTCACGACAAAACCAACATAATGGGTTTGCGACCAGCATGGATCCAGACCAGCCTGCGCATCCGCGCAGTCTGATCAGAATCCATGCTGTTCTCTTACCAACCCTATTACATGTAGAGAAACTGATAGCGAACAGCATGGATCCAGATCAGACTGCGCGGATGCGCAGGCTGGTCTGGTTCAATGCTGGTCGCAAACGCACTATGTTGGTTTTGTCGTGACGCGGCTCAAATAAGCATTAGACTTGTTGTCTTAGATCCATTGTCGTCTTAGATCATTATCACTGAGGAAAACAAGAAACTTTACGCTGTTTAATCAGTAAATACTTCTAAATATTCTCTAAAATGATGAATTGTTTTGTCCCAATTAAAAGGTAGAGAAGGCCATTTAATACATGAAGTGATGTAAAGTCTTGCTTATATGTCTTGTTATATTTGTCTTTCAAGACTGTTTATTCTGCCATAATTTTTCAGCTCTTACTCCACAAGTTCAGCTTCAGGGACCTCTTCTCTCTCCACAAGGTTTGAGATTCATTTTCCCATTACTTCCTAATATTTTAAAGCCACATTATGCCTCAGAGTCTAATATATTTCTCATTCTTAAGAAAGGCAAACATGAGTTTTATATTGCTTAAATTAAGTGTTTAGAGCATGATACATGCTTATCCCCTGACGAAAGTAGCAGTGAATGTAAAATAATTAATTTTGTTGTAAATGTAGGCTTATTATGTAGCAAATCGTAAACAAAGTAGTATTTTGACTTTCATACAAAACACTAAATCACTATAATTGCCAAAAGGCAACAGGAGCAAAATATGAGTATGGTTCAGAAAATTGGTCAATGAGTAACTTTTTGCGAACTGTAATATGACAAAAACATTTCATGAGGTATAATGGGCCTTAAATATCAGTCTTGCTTAAAAAATAATTGTATGGGTCAAGTTATGTCAAAGGTGTACTAAAAGTTCCTATAACAAAGTAAATCAATTTTTGTTTTGGTTGTCATGATTCTATACAGGAAAATTGAAAATAGTCTTATGATATGTTTTAGATGATTACAAATACGAAACATTCAAAGTTCATAAAGTACAAAGTAATTCAACTAAACTGTATTATGATTATAATAGTAGAAATATTGTAATAAAAGATTTTGTTTTGGGGATATAAAGAATGTATAAAATTTCAGATCGGGAAATACGTATGGGGGTGGAAGTAGTTATGGTTACGACCCTGGACGTGGAAATGTTACCCAAGGACTGTGTGGTCTCTCCAATATTGGTAACACGTGCTTTATGAACTCTGCATTACAGGTAACACTTATTTAGGGAATATAACTGATTAAAAATAAGTGATTATACAAATAACATTTCCTTAAGGGATGTGAAAGAATAGTTTTAACTATAATGCTTACCTATAAATTTTTGTACAGTAAAATTTGCACTTAAGCTCCAGCAAAATTGTAACTGCTGATAAGAAAAATGTGCATTCGTAAGTTTTGACAGATAATACATGCTTTGAATGTGTGTGCAGAATTTATTTTTTGCGGGAAAGATTTTAATTTTTTTGAAGTTAAGGACGGGAAACAACTTTGTAGAAACATTATTAGTTTTGATTGAAAGATGACAGTTTCTTTTAAATATTTTCCCATCTTAAAGGCATATTAGGGGGCGTCCGTGGCCCAGTGGTTAAGGTCGTTGACTTCAAACCATTTGCCCCTCACCGCTAAGGGGTTCGAATCCCGACAGGGACTTTGGATTCTTTCATGTGAGGAAGCTAGCCAGCTAGCTTACGGAACGTCGGTGGTTCTACTCAGGTGCCCGTTCGTGCCTGAAATATGTCTTCCTCCACCAGTAAAGCTTGAACGTCGCGATATGACCTATACTGTGTCGATGTGACGTAAAACCCAATAAACAAACAACAATTAAGGCACATTATGCCTCAGAAATTATTTTTTATTTTTATTAGAAAGGAGAACCATGAATTCTGTAACGTTTGAATTATGGGTTTAAGTGTATGTTAGATGCTTTTAACCTGAAGAAAGTAATGGTAAATGTGATATAATTTGTTATGAAAATGTAACCAAAATAGATTTTGACTCCCATACAAAATACTAAATCACTGTAACTGTACTAATTGCCAACAAGCAACAGATGACAAAGATGCCTCAGGCATTTGGGAATGAGTAACCTTTTTGAAACTATAAAAGTATACTAAAAATAAAAAGCATTTGAGGAGTAAGAATAAAAGCATTTCTTTCTAAAGCAAAATGGGCCTTTATGTGTCAGTATCAATGTCTTTGTCTAATAAAGCTGTGTGTTTTTTTTTGGCAACATTTCAGTGTATGAGTAATGTACCAAAATTGACGGAGTATTTTGTTTCGAACAAATGGGCCGATGAAATTAACGAAGATAATCCACTTGGAATGCATGGAGAGATTGCCAGATCATATGCTGAGCTTATACAGACCATGTGGTCAGGAAAATACAGCTTCACTGTGCCAAGAAACTTCAAGGTATTGTTCTGTTATTTCTATATTTTGATTGACTGGAAGGGCATTTGAAACAACATTGATAAAACCCTTTATCTACAGACCACTTCAACCGGAAGTGATTAGCTTATGCCACCGGTATAGAGCCAGACCATGCAATCTAACAAGGCACTATACTGATGGATGACTAACTAAATTTATCTCTTGATTTCCATAAAAATGATGATAGAAAGTTCCAAAAATGTAAGCTTGTCAAACCTGTCTTCTGACTAATTTGATCAATGCAAGTACTGCAAAATCATTATTATTGTTGAAGAACTAATTTCGTGCTTTTCATGTAGGTCAATCCACAAATTTAAGATCCAACGAAATTTCATTTCATCTGCTGTAGAAAAATTTTGCATCACATAATTTACATCTTTCGTTTTCGAAAAAAATAATTCTATGAATTTAAGAAAACATGAAAATGTTCTTTGTGTCAAAACCACAAAATTTCATGCCCACAAAATTAAATGAATCCACAGTAAATAAGAGCTTCTGGTATGCAAGGGATATATCTAGTATGCCAAGGATATTTCTGTATGACAGTTATAATTTCTAGTATGCCATGGAAATTTCTGATATGCCAGTGATGTGGTATTTCAGTGGTATTCCAGTAATGTCAGTGGTACAACTGGTATGACAATGATATTTTTCTATTGTTTGTGATATTTTCAGTATGCTGTCGGTAGATTTGCTCCACAATTTTCTGGCTATCAGCAGCAAGATTCACAAGAGTTAATGGCCTTTCTTCTAGATGGATTACATGAAGACTTGAATAGAATCAAGAAAAAACCATATGTGGAGCTCAAAGATGCTGATAACAGACCTGATGACGTAATACACAAGTTCTTATGATTTATTAGCTCACCTGTCACAAAGTGACAGGGTGAGCTTTTGTGATCGCTTTTCGTCCGTCGTCCGTCCGTCCGTAAACTTTTGCTTTAAATGACATCTCCTCATAAACCACTAAGCCAATTTCATCCAAACTTCACAGGAATGTTCCTTTGGCGGTCACCTTTAAAAATTGTTCAAAGAATTTAATTCCATGCAGAACTCTGGTTGCCATGGCAACCAAAAGAAAAAACTTTAAACATCTTCTTCTAAAAAACCCAAAGAGCTAGAGCCTAGATATTTGGCATGAAACATCTTCTAGTAAGTGTCTACCAAGTTTGTTCAAAGAAAAGCCCTGGGGTCAAAATTGGCCCCGCCCCAGGGGATCATTGATTTTTTCCTATATGCATATAGTAAAAACTTAAAAAATCTTCTTCTAAAAACCCAAAGAGCTAAAGCTTAGATATTTGGCATGAAACATGTTCTAATGGATGTCTACCAAGTTTGTTTCAAATAAAAGCCCTGGGGTCAAAATTGGCCCCCGCCCCGGGGGGGTCATTGATTTTCCCTATATGCATATAGTAAAAAACTTAAAAAATCTTCTTTTAAAGAACCCAAAGTGCTAGAGCTAAGATATTTAGCATGAAACATGTTCTAATGGATGTCTACCAAGTTTGTTCAAATAAAAGCCCTGGGGTCAAAATTGGCCCCGCCCCAGGGGGTCATTGATTTTCCCTATATGCATATAGTAAAAACTTAAAAAAATTCTTTTAAAAAACCCAAAGAGCTAGAGCTTAGATATTTGGCATGAAACATGTTCTAATGGATGTCTACCAAGTTTGTTCAAATAAAAGCCCTGGGGTCAAAATTGGCCCCGCCCCAGGGGGTCTTTGATTTTACCTATAGGCATATAGTAAAAACTTAAAAAAATTTCTTTTAAAGAACCCAAAGAGCTAGAGCTAAGATATTTACCATGAAACATCTTCTTATGGGTGTCTACCAAGTTTGTTCAAATAAAAGCCCTGGGGTCAAAATTGGCCCCGCCCCAGGGGGTCATTGATTTTCCCTATATGCATATAGTAAAAACTTAAAAAATCTTCTTTTAAAGAACCCAAAGTGCTAGAGCTAAGATATTTAGCATGAAACATGTTCTAATGGATGTCTACCAAGTTTGTTCAAATAAGAGCCCTGGGGTCAAAATTGGCCCTGCCCCGGGGGGTCATTGATTTTCCTAATATGTGTATAGAAAAAACTTAAAAAATCTTCTTTGAAAAAAACCAAATAGCTAGAGTTTAGATACTAAGCATGAAACATCTTCTAGTGATTGTCTACCAAGTTTGTTCAAATAAAAGCCCTGGGGTCAAAATTGGCCCCGCCTCGGCTGACATTGATTTTCCTTATATGTGTATAGCAAAAAATTAGAAGTCTTCTTTGAAAAAACCCGAATAGCTAGAGTTTAGATATTAAGCATGAAACATTTTCTAGTAAGTGTCTACAAAGATTGTTCAAATAAAAGCCCTTGGGTCAAAACTGGCCCTGCCCCAGGTGTGTCATTGTTTTTAACTATATGTGTAAAGAAAAAAACTTGACCAGCTAGACCTTGGATGTTAAGCATGAAATATCTTCTAATGGGTGTCTACCAAGTTAGTTCAAATAAAAGCCCTGGGGTTTAAACTGGCCCCCTCTAGGGGCCTATATACAGGTGAGCGACTTCAGGGCCATCATGGCCCTCTTGTTACAAATAAATTTAATCTAATATATTCTTATTGTGACCACCTATAGTGAGTAATATTTTAAACATAACATATCTGCTTTGTGTGAAGTCAAAACATTTATTTCATATTAACAAATAGCAAATATCAGTATTTTCTCATATCAAATTTGAGCATAGTATTTCTTTAATCATTTTGTTTATATGAATTATAGTAAATTTGTATTTATTTTAAGGTGGTTGCTAAGGAGGCCTGGGACAGTTATAAGTTGAGGAATGACTCCATCATCACAGACATATTTCACGGGCTTCTCAAATCTACGGTCAAATGTCCAGAATGTGACAAGATCTCCGTCACGTTTGACCCGTTCTGTTACCTGTCACTGCCGCTCCCCGTGAAGAAAGAACGTCAGTTAGAAGTGTTCTGGGTACCTCTAGATCCTGCCAAAAAACCAATGCAGGTAATGTCAGAATTAACTTTTTTTGTTTGATAAGCTTGCAAGATTTAAGTCGAGGAAAATAAACAGAAATGTGATATATGATAAAAGATTAGATAGATCGGTTTTGAAAATTGCATTAAAGCGTTCTGGAAGTAATAAGATTATATGTTAGTATATAAATAACACATGGGTTTGTGGGTAACAGTAAAAATATCATCCCGAGGAAAATACTGTTACCTGAGGCGTAGCCGAATATTCTTCGCATAGTTTTTGACAAAGTGCATTTAGAAAATAACGATGACATTCTACAGATGTCTGTCCACCAACTCTATCTGTAACGTTTCACTGGTTAAAAATGTTAAATAATCCTTTGTTGCATGCTTTAATCGTCTGCATGTTCCAGTTTGACACAAAATTGTTCACATTACTATTACTTCCGTTGAAAACAGATGTTCCCTTTTGACTATTCAACAAAAGGATATTTTTTACGCGAAAGGAACTCTAGGGTGCAAAGAACTAAATTTTATGAGAGAAATAGTTACTTCGGCGATGCCCTATCGTCGAAAATAAGAACGAATCTAGAGAAAAATGGCGGCCATTTTATTCATTTTATTTAGAAAATAGACCATGTTACCAGATTTTTTACTGTTAAAAAATAAACTGTTACCTATTAACAGTACAAAATTCTTAATCACGTGGTACACTTGCATTAACAGTAAGAATAACTCCCAGAGGCCTATGGGGAAATTAACATTACGAAAAAAGTGAGGGGTAAATAATATAAGATAAATGTATTGAATGAAACAAGTTTCCAAAATTCACATTTGTGTATAATGAATATGAACAAATAAAACCATATTATTGTAAATAATTCTCTGGAATCATTTGCCACGAAATACAAACCTGGATTTAATAGATTTTATCAAAGAAAAAAAAAATGAAAATTTTTTTCTCGAATCCAACAGTTTTGATATATGAAAATTCTTATTTAAAAAGCCAGCAATATGTTTCAAATAATTTGTTTTGAGACATAGACTTTATATTAAGTCTTTTAGTTGTATACTTTGAGGAACATTTTCAGTAAATAGTTATTGATTTGACAATTTCCAGTTCAAGTTAACAGTACCAAGATGGGGTGTGTAGCAGATATCTGTGATGGTCCTATCACAGTAATGTGGCAGTCGACAAACTTTTCGTAAGTTGTTTACATATTACCCTTGTTAAGGTCATTATCTGAAACTTTAACATCTGAGAAATAATATGTTTTATGTTAAAACAGAAATTTGAATTTGGTGGTGCATATTTGTTACCATGTTGAATTTCTTTTGCATAATTATCTTGCTTTGCTTTTAAATTTTGGCAGAGCATCATTACAGCTATAAACATTGACCCTCGAAGCCATATAGTTTGGTTTGTATTGGCAGCCAATGTCGGATTAATGATTTTTTGGCACAATGGTCAGATGCATTATTATTTTTTGTGAGTCAGAGGATGTATGTTCGAAAAACATTACAGGTGGAATTTTTTTTTTGCATTTGCATTTCTAATTACGAATTTTTAAATGTTCATAAAATGCGATCTTTATAATAAAAAATTCAAGATAGGCAATGTTTTAACATGCCTGTAATGTAATGATAAAATAATTCAGACTCTTTTTTCAAATGAAATTCAATACAGTTGCCATACCAGATTAACAAAATATTTAAGAAAAGTAGTAAATGCCTGTGTTGGTTTTTTTTTTTTGTTTGCAGATGGTGGTGACAGATGTAATATAACCATAGATTTCACAAAGTGTTTGCCATGTCCGAGGCCATACAGTCAGATTATGGATAGAGATGATATCTTTATTTACCAGGTTCCTGTCAACTCTCACGATGACCATGATCTAGTTGTATTGCCTATCTACATGAGGCAAGAGAGGTATACTTTCAGGATTTTTCCTCAGGTCTTTGGGAACATGATCTATACCCATGGAATTTGGGAATTTCAGCGATGTTTTGTTTAAAGTTTGGAAAAAATGCATGACTGAAAATAATGCATGACTATAAAATAAGTTAAAAAAAAATCCCAGATTTTATACCTTATTGTAATCCTTACGCAACTGTATACATGATGGGCCTGTCGGGTAGTGAATTTTGCATTGTTAGTAAAAGTTAGTTCAGTATCAAAAGAAGTTGAGCATCTAACATTATTGTGTTGGGTCACAGTGCTCTCTGTAAGCAAGGGGCCAGAAAATTTACTGGCTAGTGCTGACTTTACTGCTGGCTACAAGCCTTCAACACATGATGATTTTGAAAATTCTTTTTATATTACCTTGGGACCGTTATCAGTAATCACAGCCTTTTGTCAATTTTTCACTGGATACTGATTAATTTATAGAAAACATTGTTTGCAATGTTAGGACAGATGTGCATGCTAGTTTGGTTCTATTGATGGCATAGTCATTATTGTGGATATTACTAAAATTTTTTCGGTCTAACAAAATATTTAGTATGACTTTGAATTTATTTTAAAATTTTATTTTGACTTTCCAAAATTCGCATTTTTATTATGCCAAGTTAAATAGGATATTGGTCTGCATCATGTTCTAGTTAGATAGACATGGTCAGATTATTCTCTTTCTGTACTGCTTTCACATAATAAAATTAATGATGTTGTGTTGGTCATAGTTTTTATGAAAAAAAGAAGAGAGAGTTTGTGGGGTTTTTTTTTTGTACGCGAGTGACAGTGGCTTCGATATATATTATATGGTAATATGAGCTCATTGATTTTACCTTCAAGATATTGATTTATTGCAGGGGAAAGGCAACATACAGCCAGTCATATATAGGAACATACCAGTTATTTGGTCAACCATTGTTATTACCAGTACCAAGACAAAAATGTACCTATAAACAGCTGTATGAGTTAGTGCTTCAAAGGCTCTCGTAAGTTTTACATTATTTACCTTAATCACACTGTATTTATGTAATGGACTTTCTCACCTTTGAATTCGGTGTCCATTGTTATTTTTAGGGGATTCAGTACCAAAAAGCTGAAATTTAGCAACCGTTAAATAAAGAACCTGGTCAAAATGCAGGCAAACCTGGCTCTGTATTAGTTTAAACATATTTAACATACTGGACATACATTCCAGACCCGTGGTTCAAGTTCAGGCTTTGGTGTGCCGATTTTTCATGTGATTTTCAGTCTTCGAAATTAACGCCAGTCCGAGGCCACTAAATTTAGCATCGGTCCGGTGATTATTGCAAGGTTGGTGGTCCGACGGGCCAGTAGATTTTTGGCCATGAAAAAATTTTATAAGAAAAACGCAACAAAATAATGAAGCAGGGCTCTCTAAAAGATTGATATTTTTGCCTTTTTTGCAAATGAAACCCATCAATTCTGTCCCTAAAATTCAAAACACAGCGAGAGATGTCTAAATTGTATTGAGTAATGGAGGCCGCCATTTTTTCTTGGATATTTTCCGTACTGCACCGTACAGTTACGGAAATTAAACCATTGTTTATAATGGTCATTATTTACCTATGATTTTGTGATAATTGAGTTTAATAAGTTAATATTTTGTGTGAAAGTGATTTGTTTGAAGCAAACTGTGTTGTTCATGTTCAATGCTAGTCTGAGTTTTGCCTTAACATTTGGTCCTTATAAATTTATAAAGCTATCAACTTATGGTCCAGAATACAAGAAGTATTTTGCTTCTTTCAAAATTAACAAGGGAAGCATGATAAAGTGTTTTCCTTTACCCATCAATTTATTACCTATATATGTATTTGGTCCGGCTAAAAATCACCAGGTCCAGTAAGATTTGAAATTTTACTGGCCCGAATGTCCTGTGCTTTTTAAAGTTTTTCGTGAAGACTGGATTTTTCTGTATATAGATGTATGTGCTGGATTTTGTAGAAAGCTCCTAGCCTATTTGATCCACTAGCAAGTTGTCTTCCTGAAATTTACTAAAAATGGTATCATATGAGGAAACATGATTTTGAACCAAATAGAACCCAAAACCATAATCCCTGGGTTGAGAGGCAAACACCTTAACCACTAAGACACCATTTCATTTATCATTGGCTGTATATTGGTGTAAATGGGCAAGTCATTAATGCCCATGGCATTGTGATTAGACTGGAAATATCTTAATTGAGCAACATTATAAACCTCAGTAGTTAGTATAAGCCATTTGACCTATGTTAAAATATTTATATTAAAACGTTTTTAATTCTATTCAGGTTCTGCAGCAAAGTTTACAAAAAAGCAAATATGATAAATTTTGTGTTCTGTTGTTGAATAGGATGTAGATGTTAGTAACTAACAAACCGTTATAATTAGATAGACAGACAATGTAGGAGATGTTATGAGATCATATGACAGCATTAAACCATAAATATTTATGATAAGACATATGAAATATCCACTGAATTTACGTGTAAATAATTTTGTGATTTCAGACGTTTTGTAACTGTGCCAGCTGATAATGAGAAATGGTGGGTGATGGAGACACAGGACGAGGATGTGGAGATTGTCTCCACCACTCAAGAAGAGGAGGAAAGTAACGCAACAAACATGAATGGACAGGGAGATTCTGTCGTTTGTAATGGAGGTACTGTTATTTAAGCTGCAAGCCTTGTGTATAAGTGTGACCAAATGTTCAAAATATCAAATTTCAGGATAATATGCAAGGAGTATGATAAAATATTAAACTATTGATACTCCAGGTTTTGAATTGAAAAAATGGTTGATGTTTTTAGCTTGACTATTCAAAGAATAGTACACACCCAAGCGTCATTGTCACACTTTCGCCAAGTTTTTGCCTGCAGGTTGGTTTCTTTAAAGCTAACACATAAGGGAACACAAGGGAATGGACAGAAATTTCATACACTTACTTACTTGAGTACATTATAGGAGGTCACTGTCCAAGGTCCATAACTCTAACATGGATTTTAACAGAATTATGTATGACCTTTTTGAACTTTGAAAAATTCTACATTTTATCCAAGCTCTTGTTTTACTATCATGCAGGGAGAATAGTCAAGCACTTTGTCATCCTGTTAAAATATGATCAAAGTGAGGGCTTTATTCTGCAAGTTATAAAATGTAGTAAGTGATTTCTGTAGGAATCATTGGGTAGCTTGAATTATTTTATTTGTACTTTTTAAACATTTTCATTGAGTAAATTAAAAAGAAAATATCATGAACATTAAAACAGAATCTTTGGATGTGCTGTTAAATATATTAACAACAACACCTTTGCATTCCTTAAAGTTCATGGAGTTATGGCAGTATGTTGTCAAATACCTGATAATGTATTTAAAATCATGTTCAAGAGGTTGCGTTATTAAAAATATGATCATGGCTGTTCTTGAAATATATTTTTATTTTATTGTATTACAGGAAACCATTAATTCAATGAAAAAAAAAATATTGCTACAAGGTGCTTCGGGTCAAAATAAGATGCACATATCATTATAGTTACATACATTGAAATATGATATGATAATATTTCATGAATTGGATGAATACATTTGACCATAGTTTAAAATGATTTATGTTTTTGATGTTACAGTTCGGGATACAGGTGATGATTCTGGAATGGAAGTTAGTAACGGTGACAGTACTAATAGTGAGAATTCCTCGGACAACGAAAATAACAAATTTTCAGACATAAATGGTCAAACAGATAGTGATAAAGAAATAGAAAAACCTAGAAAACTTTTTAAATTCTCAGTAGTGAATTCTTATGGCACAGCGGAAATGGATAATAAATTCAAAGATGATGACAACCCTCTGAAACTGAGTAGTAAGTGTGTTTATAAATTATTTTATTTCTGGTTGCAATTTCTACCGTACAATATTCATTAAAGTTTTAGAGTACAGAAAACCTTTATCTGCTGATTTTTTGTAATGGATAAATCCAGCTTTGAATTAAGAACAGTACATTTAAAATTGTAAGGGATTTTCATTACTAAAATACAAAAATTGAAGAGCCTGGTTGTGCAGGGATGTGCATTCTTGCCTGGCTCTGTACTGTTGCAAAGGCCAAATACTTAGGATGATTCCAGCAGTAATTTCCAATTATTTGCCTTTCACAACAGTAGATTTAAATCCTGCCAGGGACTTTGGATTCTTCCATGTGAGGAAGTTACCCAGCCCAATTATTACTGAAATAATACAGGAATGGACACCCATAGGACTTCCAACACCAGTAGAGCTGGAAAGTAGCCATATAGCTTACATTGTGTGACTTATACGTAAAATCTAACAAACAAACAAAAATACGACCATTATTGATTCCCTATTTATTTAAATTGATATGTTTTGCGTATTGATGATGATATTATGTATGAAAAATGTCTATAAATTTGATTACAGGTCGTATGTACATATCAGTGGACTGGAGCAATCTAGCTAAAGAACATTTTTACTGTGATAGTGAAGCAGAGTCGTTTGAAATGCACGACACAATGAAAAATAAACCTCAGAAAAAAGTAGTCATTCAACTAAATGATTGTCTAGAACTGTTCACCACCACAGAGAAACTGGGAGAAAATGATCCTTGGTGAGTTGAAGTTTTGTTGTCCTTGATAATAACAAGGCTGGGAATGAATTAGTTATGCTTCCCTTTGAAAAAGCTCTCAAATATAAAATTTCTTTAATAAATACCTTTATTGTACCTTCATGTAGAAAAAAAAGAAAAGTAGCCTCCCTAGCTGAAAACCTTTTATTAAATACATAAATGGAAAATGTTGTGTACTTTTGAAGATAATGAGGATTTAGAAAATTTCCAACCAGGAAGAAATCGGTCATTTCCTCAAAGGGATTGGGAAAAAAAACGACTATTGCATGTCAATGTTCACAGTAAGAATAAATAGTTTTGTTGTTTTTAAGGTACTGTCCAAAATGTGAGAAGCATCAACAGGCAACAAAGAAGTTTGATCTGTGGTCGTTACCAGATACACTGATCATACACCTGAAGAGATTTTCCTACAACCGTTACTGGAGGGATAAAATTGATGCCCTTGTCGAGTTTCCAGCAAAGTATGTCATTGTTTTATTCTATATCTTTAAACATCACTTTTGAAAAGGGTTGGTGTCAAGTTTCTTCATTTCATTCAATGATGCGGAATAGCAACGCAAGTGTTGTGGTTCAGACCGAAAAAACAACAACAAGTTTAACAGAAAGCTGTGTAGCCTAAAACAATTATCTGTACCTATCATTGTTTTACATTGTAAAGTTTACATTTTGGACTATCTAGATAAAGGCAATTTCAATTTGTCATGGTGTTCGTGAATTATTTTATGAATTATTGTAAATAAAGAATTTGCTTCTTTTGTAATCAATTTAGAAAGGAATTAAATCTGGGAAGAAATCTGCCTCGTTAATTAAAGGTACTCCACTGAGGTTTTTTTTTGCATGTTGGGACTGGAAAGAATTTTCCTGCATTAATGCTCCATTTGCTGAAGGTCAAGACAAATTTCAGATCATTTGCTCATTCCATTTTTACACAACAATAATGATAATTGTAAAAATTGACCCAAAATTGTAAGCATTGCAATATTTTTTACTCAAATCAGAGTTGCTAAGCACAAAAGTATGATTTTCAAATTATTTTTGAGTTTATCACTCATTTATCTTTTGCAAATCTTTCTGTTTTAAGTGCCCCAAATGTTTTATGTAAGCAATTCAAATTTTATGTTGTTCGGCTTGGGCCTCAGTGGAGTTCCAATGGTTTACCGGAATGTATATATATTTAGCACTTCCCTGATATATTTCCTCTTTTGTCTCTAATTAACTTTCTTCAGCACTTAATCATATTTTCCCTACTTATTTATATGGAAAGAACCTTTTTGTACAGACAGAATAGAAAACCTGGCTTAGGAAAACCTATGTAAGCACAAATTGCTTTGTAGGTAATCAAATAAACTGTGTATTTAGAAATTTGTATCTGAAATAAATGGTATTTTAAATATTTCAGGGGCATTGACCTTGGCAAGTTTGTTATATCTCCAGCAGATAAATCAGAGTATGTTTATGACCTTATTGGAGTGTCCAACCATTATGGTGGTCTAGGAGGCGGCCATTGTAAGTACCTCTTTCATCTTTACCCCCACATTTGTACTATGGACTTGCCTTGTATTGAATTTTTAGGTTGCCCATTGTTGATTTTCAGGGGTGTGAATATGTTCATTAAGTAACTATCTGTAATATCACATTGCTTACAAGTTAAATATAGGTCAGGAAATTAGAGAATAGTGTTGCTCAGTTTGTAGAGGTATAACCTGTTGACTTAATACTTACAGTTTTAGGTATGATAAGGGTCAAAGTCAGCGTGATATAATTGTTACAGGGCTAGTTACTGATCTATTATGGGATATATAGTTTGAAAACCTTTGGTCTCGATCCCATATAGTTTTCAACAGAACTTTATATCCTATATCAGGTCAGTTACTTACCCTGTAACAGTTGCATCATGCTGACTAACTTCCTTCCTTCCGGGACAAACTATGAAAAAGTTGTTGAATTGACAATTATTTTGACCATTTTGAATGTTTACCTTACCAAATCTATTGGTATCTAGTACATACTAGATCACTATGTGACATTAAAACACCAAATTAGAAAAGGTTATTATGTAGCTGAAGTGATATAGTTAAATATTGTACGTGATAATGCCTATGCTGAGGACAAAAATCAAAGCTATAAATTAATGTATTCTGTATACTGACATTTCATTTCAGATACTGCATACTGTAAGAATGCTGTAGAAAATGCCTGGTACTATTTTGATGATTCAAGTGTGTCCGAGTCTTCTGAGGAAGCCACTGTGGTAAGTTATATTATAAACACAATATGTCTGAATCATTCTTCCCTTTTACATTATTTTTGTAGTTACTACTTGTAATGTATTGATGTTTGACCATTGGTTATGGTTCTACTCAGGTGTCTATTTGTGCCTGATATATTGCACCGAAGAGCACCTGAGGTCTTCCTCCACCAGTAAAGCTGGAATGTCGCTATATGACCTATACTGTGTCGGTGTGACGTAAAACCCAATCAAACAAACAATAGCATTGGTTGTCTGCGAATGAGATCAAGTTATGTTGGAGCGAACATTTAGTAATAGTGCATAAGAATCAATACTTAGACTAACAAGAAATAAGAATTGATACACATATTTTGTTATTTAGTCAAGATGTTTTAGACTCTGATCTATAACTTTTAGCAGAAGTTGTGATTTATCAATCATTATTTAAGCACTTGTATTACATGTCACAATTAAGATTCATGATTTCATATAACGGAAAAATGATATCGATTATTATTCATCATTTATCAAGCAGTGATATTATTCATCATTAATCAAGTTATTTTATTTCTCTAGTCAAAGGCTGCATATGTACTGGTATATCAGAAACGTGGCACTTGGAAGAACATCAAGAACACCACAGCACCTTCCTCAACCACAACATCTGAGGGCATTGAAATCAACGGCTTAGACACGGAAAAAGGAGATGGTGAGGCAAACAAAATGGAAGTGAATTGATACGGAATTTATTAGGAGTGCAAATTTACATTTATTATTTATTTTGTATTTATCGGTCTTGTGATAGGGACCCTTGGATTTTATATTTTGATGTGTACACATTAGCAGATGTTATATTATTTGATAAATCCAAGATTATACATTTGTTTTGCTAACCGTATTAAGACAGAAACTGTGTTTTGTTATAGCCATATCCTTAAAACCAGGCTGTTTTTTTTAAGAAAAGAAAAATTTGTTTTTGTTTATAAGTGATTGAATAGAGAATTTGAAAAAACTGTCAAGCATAGTGTATGTTTGGTTGATTAACATGATTTCTTCTCAGTGACTCTGATTTTACTTTACTGAATGCTTTGATACTAATTGGACAATGTAGTGTATCATTACAATGTACTCGCATAAGATACTTGCTTTCCAAATATTTGTTAGACAGAGGAATGATTACCTGCTTTCTTCATCCAGAAATCATATTTGTTATAATTTATAATAACACAAGTATTAATCTACCAGTTTTATGTATAAAATAATGGTATTTGAAAAATAATTGGCATTTTTTCTATTATTATTATTTTCTATTCCGTAAATTTTGAATTTTTAAGTGAACTCCATCATTATAAGGTACCCTTTTGATGCAAAACAGAGTGATTTTCTGTAAAAAATAAATTAGTGTTTTTATGCCACCGCAGCATCTGCGATGCGGTGGCATATAGCAATTCACCTGTGTGTGTGTGTGTTTGTTTGTGTGTGTGTGTGTTATATAGATTATATAGTGAACTTAAAAAATCTTCTTGTGAAAAACCACTAGTCCAATTTCAACCAAACTTGGCAGGGTTGATCCTTGGGTGAAGGGGTTCCAAAGTTGTTCAAAGAATTTCATTCCATGCAGAAATCTGGTTGCCATGGCAACCAAAAGGAATTATAAGAATAAATTTAAAAAATCTTCTTGTAAAGACCCAAAAGGCCTAGAGCTTAGATATTTTGCATAAGGCATTGTCTGGTAAACCTCTACCAAGATTGTTCAAATTAAAGCCCTTGGGTCAAAATCGGCCCCGCCCCGGGGGTCATTGATTTTCACTATATATACATATAGTAAAAACTTAAAAAACCTTCTTGTAAAGACCGAAAAGGCCTAGAGCTTAGATTTTTTGCATAAGGCATTGTCTGGTAGACCTCTACCAAGATTGTTCAAATTATAGCCCTAGGGTCAAAATCAGCCCCGCCCCGTGGCAACCAAAAGGAATTATAAGAATAAATTTAAAAAATCTTCTTGTAAAGACCCAAAAGGCCTAGAGCTTAGATATTTTGCATAAGGCATTGTCTGGTAGACCTCTACCAAGATTGTTCAAATTATAGCCCTGGGGTCAAAATCGGCCCGCCCCGGGGGTCATTGATATTCACTATATGTACATATAGTAAAAACTTAAAATACCTTCTTGTAAAGACCGAAAAGGCCTAGAGCTTAGATTTTTTGCATAAAGCATTGTCTGGTAGACCTCTACCAAGACTGTTCAAATTATAGCCCTGGGGTCAAAATCGGCCCCGCCCCGGGGTCATTGCTTTTCACTATATGTACATATAGTAAAAACTTAAAATACCTTCTTCCAAAGACCCAAAAGGCCTAGAGCTTAGATATTTTGCATAAGGCATTGTCTGGTAGACCTCTACCCAGACTATTCAAATTATAGCCCTGGGGTCAAAATCGGCCCGCCGGGGGGTCATTAGTTTTCCTTATATGTATCTTCAATATATACTTATAGTAAAAAATCTTATTGTCTTTATTAGAGCTTAAATATTTTTTAAATGATATCATCTATAGGAACTCTACCAAAGTTGTTCAAATTTTGCCTCTAGTGTCAAAATTAGCCCGCCCAGGGGGCCATAGGCTTTCCTTATATGTAAATATATATATACATATATATATATAGTAAAAAATAAAAAAATATATTTTTATCTGAAGGTACAAGGCATAGAGCTTCGATGTTTGCTATATAATATCATCTATAGGTCCTCTTCCAAAGTTGTTCAAATTATTCCCTAGCTGTCAAAATTGGCCCTGCCCGGGGGCATTGATTCTCATTATGTACACATAGTAAAAACAGAAAATAAAACAAATGTTTTCTGAATGGGAGAAAGCTACAGCTTAGATATTTGACTTGAAATGTTGTTCGGTGGACCTGTATCAAGATTGTTTTGAATGAAACCCTTGGGTCCAAAATTTTGCCTTGCCCAAGAGGACAGTGACTTACTTTCTTGTCCTTTGATGTACAGCAATGAAATTTTGACCATGTGCACAGTTTTAGTTGTAAAATTGAATTTTGATATCAGGTGACCTAGATTTTGATGATGTGACCTACTTTCTTGATGTACAGCTATGAAATTTGAACCATGTGCACAGATTAAGATGTAAAGTGAACTTTGATTTCAGCTGACCTAGATTTTGACAAAGTGTCTTACTGTTGTTTGATGTAGTCATGAAATTTAGGCTGTGTGAAATATGACCTTCACCACCAAATTCACTAGACTCAAGTGCATTGATATATTCCTACTCTGATCTCTTATTGAGTTAACAACAGATTTAACCACTAATCTGATAATAAGAATAAGATAGGTCAGGGATCTATGCATTATGACAATCTTCAAAATTGTATAGAAACAAAAAAAATCTGTTCCAACACTACTATTTAGTGTTGTATTAATGCGGTGGCATAGCATTTTCTCTCAAATGCAATCTTGTTTTTATTTAGGGGTTATTTTTCAATTAGTTATTTTCAATAAAAACTTATGATAAGTAAGAGTAATTACACTTTAGGATTAGATCTGAGTAATACATGTTGTTGAGGACAGATTTGTCCTGTATATATTGTTTAAGAGAAATGATTGATTAAAAATTTAGAAATCCAGTATACATCATGTGCTATTGTTATAAAAGGAGAACTGGGATGAAAACAGATATTACTACTGTACTTTAATATTATAATATTACTTCTTAACATTTTGCTTTATCTGCAAATTAAAAAAAACCACACACAGAAAAAAGAAAAATCAAAAATACTGTTTGGTGCTGTAACAGCATTGGGTACACTAAAAATTTGGGATATTGAAGCTTTGAACTGTGTCTGTGGCCAAGTGGTTGAGGTGGTTGACTTTGAACCACTTGCAACTATTCGCTGTGGGTTGGAATCCCATTGAGGACTATGGACTCTTTTATGTGAGGAAGCTATCTAGCTAGATTATGGAACTTGGTTGTTCAATAAATTAATTATAGGGTGTGGTTTTTTTTATCAAGAAGACAATATTTCTATATATAGATAAGTTAATACAGTGGAAAAAAATATCAAAAGTTATGTGTACTAAATGGTATCATTTTTAAATTATTTTATACTGGAGTATGATATAATTATTAGTCAAGCTTGGGGAGTAGAACTACTTTATTGCTGTATTTATCTATATATACATGTATACTGTATAGCATCTTGACAAACAACTGGTATATATGAAATGATTGTGACCATTAACAGTAGATGATAAAGCTGACATATGTTAAATACGCTGTGATAAGGCAATAGTTGTATTACAATGCTGCTTTTTCCCTGTTGGCAATATTGCCTTACCATATTGAGATTTTGGAAATCCCACAATAGAAAATCAAGTATTTCTTCAATATTGTTCTCTTAAGTACATGTATTATTAGCTATAAAAGCACAAAACATTGAGGTTATACAAAATTAATTAGGTGTTATTCCAAAAATATGTGGAAAAAAAACAAGACTACAAGAAATAGTTAAAAAAATAAACAGTCTATTTCAATGTTAAAGACAAGGTCACATATTGATAAAAAATTCAAATGAAATATTAAAAGTTGTGAAATTCAAACACAGGTAGATATTATTTGGCTTCTAATAATGATACATACTGCACAGTAATTGAGTAAAAATGTTATGGGCGGATGAAAAATTCAAATATGACAGTTTATAATGTTTGTCTTTGTTTATTCTTCTGTTTATTTTTTCAGGGTAATGATATTCTTTTATTTAGTAAAAAAAAACCAAAAAAACACACAACTAAATACATTGTAGTACTATTAGCTAAGGGAAATGGATAGTTTTTAGTCTTTATTTTTTTCTGGTACAGTTTCATGTAGAACTCTGCTCCGGAAACTAGCTGAAAACTTCCTGTTAAAGACTGGCTTTTGTTGTGAAACTTTAATGAAAGTTTCCATTCCAGTGACTTGATTTTATTTCTATGAAATAGAGTGATGGAAGTACAAAGCATTGATTGCTTGTCGTGTGTTTAGTCAGACACTTAAAATTGTTTGTTTTGAAAATTGTGCATGAATGTTTTGTTTTTCTGTTTGGAATGCATGTGTTTTATTTTATGTGGAAAAAATGTACAGTGGTTTATAAAGTAAAGAACTTGTAAAGAAAAGTGAAATAATATTTAATGGGGGGCAATGTGTATTTATGATTCAAGACTTTAATTTCATTTTAAAGATGTTTAAATCTATATAAAAGTAAGTACCATCTATTTTCTAGTGTATAGAAATGTAGTTTGGTTAAGCCAACAAAATATTTTTTATAATGCAATATTGAGAGAGTAAACTAATGAAAAAACAATAAAAGCTCGGCACCGATGTTATGTAATTGTTGGTGAGAGTTTAAATTTATTAAGGAAGTCTTAATTTATAATTGATACTTTTGTTAAGAGGTTGTGGCTTAACAGGGGGGACCACTCTACAAGGGTTACTCTGTAGTCCCTCGTGAGTTTTCTACAACTATGACAAATTCTATAAAACTCATTTAGAATATTATTTACTGATGTTATTTATTGTAGGACATTAAAGTGCTATATAAATATTTTGGTTGGAGAAGAAGTTGTGTTATGAATGAGTGTTTGTCCTCACTGAGTGAGAAAGTTTACGGTATGTAATATTTCATGCACATTCTCTTGTATTTTACACTTTGTGCTATAATAATGATTGACATGGATTATTTCATACGTTCTCTGTTAACTTTATGTTACTACCAAATAAAAATATTATTCTTATTATTATTGTTATTTATTTTTAAAGAGTTGGTACTTAAAAAAAGTTACATATAAGAAGTTATCATATATCCGGGCCGTTTTTGTGACTCCGTAAATAATGGTATTGCACGGCCGTGCATATATTTTGACGTGACATCATTTGTGTTAAAAAAAACATAGCATTAAGATGCACAAATT